GGAACAAGTAAAAATTTAAAGAAGTTTTAGGTTTCCTTTTTACTTTCTGATTAACTTACAGATGAGACAACAAAAACAGCTTTTTCAGGGTCCCCAGGGGGCGGCAAATGGTTTGTTTTCAACAACTACTCTAAAGGTTGGTGGGTCAAACCCACCCACTGTCATTGCAAAAGAAAAGCCTGGCAATCTGCTTCCGTAACAATTATAGCAACACAAGTCAGTACAGACAACAGAGTGGGTCTGCTCTGTAACACCCGGGGTCACCGCGAGTGGATACTACTGGGCAGCAGTGAGTTTGAGGTTTTTGGACGAGAAGTCCAGGATGGGATTCAAGCCCTGATGTCCATCTGTCTGTTTTGACGGCAGGCTGTCTAGGTGAATCTATTTCATTGATTGCCAGTCCTGTGAGGGATGCTGGTCTCTATCACCCTCTCTGGGGCTAGGGTCTCTCCACTTGGATAAAGAAGCCCCAGGACTATAGAGCACTGTCAATATTCATCTAAAGTGGCCACGCCTGAGCCATGACCAAGGGCAAGATCTCCTAAAAGACCCAGCACCCATCAGGGTGAGTTCAGTGAGCAACGGGGGACAACATGGTGGCAGATTCTGGGAGCTGGATCCCAAGTGGTTGCAAAGTATCCCCCAGCCTCATAGGAGCTCCCAGTCTCCTAGTATCTTCCTGCAATGGCATCTCTTTCTATCTGTCTACCTGCCATCCGGTTGGTTGTGGCTCATATGTGTCGGAGTAGAACTGTGCTCCGTAGGGTTTTTAATGGCTAATTTTTCAGAAGCAGATCACCAGGTCTTTCTTCCAAGTCATCCCTGATTAGACCTGAACCTCTGACTTTTCAGTTAGCAGTCAAGCACATTAACTGTCTGAGGTTCATAGTGGATATGTCTTGCTGGTACCTGATTACTTTCTGATAGCTGTCATATTGAAGAAAGGGAAAAAAGGTAGACCCATTTCCAGATTTCCCTAGGACGTAGACCAAGAAGTCCATGTGCCTTTCTCCCTGGGAGTCCACAGTCACAGCGCCTGTAATTCCTGGAAAGAGGGAAGATGGAGCACGGTAAGGGGGGCAAAGAGGAAGTGTGGGTTCAAAATGCCAACCTGCTGACTCAGATCAACAGTGCCCCTTGCCCTCCCCTCAAATAAGCATCAGCCAGTCACACTTGAAGTTTAGGTCATTTGAGGAATCTCACACTCTGTCAAACAGCCTCCCTGCCCTTCCTTCTTGTTATTAAGTACTCTCAAGTTGGTTTTGATTCATAGCGACACTATACACAACAGGATGAAACATTGTCCAATTCTGCACCATCCTCACAATTCTTGTTACATTTGAGCCCATTGCTGCTGCCACAGTGCAAATCCATCTCATGGAGGATCTTCCTTTTTTGTCGCTGACCCTCCACTTTACTAAGCATGATGATCCAGGGACTGGCCACTCCTGATAATATGTCTGAAGTATGAAAGATGAAGTCTTGCCATTGTTACTTCCAAGGAGCATTCTGACTAGACCTCTTCCAGCACAGAACTGTTTATTCTTCTTCATGGAACTTCTAATATTCTTCTCTAACACCATAACTCAAATGTCCTTCACACCCTAATTTCAGCATTAACTAGCCCCATCAAGTTGATTCCTATGCAGAGTGTCTCTATATAGAGTTTCCGAGGCTGTAAATTTTTATGGGAGTAGACAGTCTCATCTTTATCCTGTTGAGTAGCTGGCAGGTTTAAACTGGTTTAAACAGGTTTAAATGGCCAACCTTGTGGTTAACAGTTCAGTACTTACACTACAGTGCTAGCCGGCCTCCAAACTAGAGCAGAGGGTCTAGTCTGGAGGTCACTCTTAGAGTGGGAAGGAGGACCCATACTTTTTATGCAAATACTTCAGGGAAGGGAGACAGTTTAATGCTTCCACTGGAGAAGGGTAAACATGAGCCCATCTGTGAAAACGCCACAACAGACCTTGACGATCCTCTTTAAATTACAGGACAAATTTAAGGATATAATTTAGTAAGTGGGTGATAAGCCAAAGAAAAGTTGTGAGCACCCACTATGTGCCAAGCACATGATATATTTCAATGACTCCTCACATCCAACAGTTACAGAGAACCTGAATTCTGGAGAAATGAAGTCTTATTTTGAACCCTGGCTCCCCCACCTATTAGCACTGTGATCTTGGACAAGTTACATAACTTTTCCACGTCTGGTTTACTTACCTATTTCACAATAGGAATAAACTCCCAGTGTGGTGCTGCAGAATCAGCACTGGACTGTGAATCACAAGGTTGGCAGTTCAAACCCACCAGCTACTTCTCAGAAAACCCTATACAGGGTTGCTATGAGTCGGAACCAACCCGACGGCACTTAATAACAACAATAACAGCAAGTTGTGTGAGGATTCAATGAGAAAATACACATAAATTCTTGGCACACAGCTTGGTATAACTTGTTCTTCCTAAGTGCTATCGAGTCACTTCTGACTCACCTTGTTGTTAGATGCTGTTGAGTTGGTTTTGACTCAGCAACACTATGCATAACAGAACAAAACCCCACCTGGTCCTGCACCATCCTTACAATTGGTGTTACACTTGAGCCCATTACTGCTGCCACTGTGTCAATCCATCTCCTTGGGAGTCTTTCTCTTTCACTGACCCTACACTTTACAAGCATGATGTCCTTCTCCAAGGACTGGTCCCTTCAGATAATATGTCCACCGTATCAGAGATGAAGTCTTACCATCCTGGCTTCTAAGATCATTCTGAATGTACTTCTAATGTAGATTTGTTTGTTCTTCTGGCAATCCATGGTACTCCCAATATTCCTCCCCAACATTATAACTCAAATGCATCAATTCTTCAGTGATCTTCCTTATTCATTGTCCAACTTTCACATGCATTTGAAAAACCATGGCTTGGGCTAGGCATACCTTAGTCCTCAAACTGATACCTTTGCTCTTGAACACTTTAAAGACATCTTGTGCAGCAGGCCTAAAGCAATACATCATTTGATTTCTTGACTGTTGCTTCCATGAGTGGTGATAGGGGATCCAAGCAAAACAAAGTCTATAACAACCTCAATCTTTTCTCTATTTATCATGTTATTTGTTGGCCCAGTGGTGAGGATTTCTGTTTTCTTTACACTGAGGTGCAATCCATACTGAAGGCTGTGGTCTTTGATCTTCATCAGTAAATGTGTTGTCCTGTTGCTTACAGCAAGCAAGTCTGTATCATCTGCATATCACAGGTTGTTAATGAGTCTTCCTCCAGTCCTGATGCTATCTTTTCTTTATATAATACAGTTTCTCAGACTATTTGCTAGGCATACAGACTGAATAAATATTTTGACAGAATATAACTTTGGCGCATTCCATTCCTAATTTGAAACCATTCAATGTCCCTTTGTTCTATTCTAACAACTGCCTCTTGGTCTTTGTACAGCAACCCCCCCGCCCCCCCATGAGCACAATCAAGTGTTCTGGAATGCCCATTTTTTGAAGGGTTTTCCATAATTTATCATGATCCACACAGTTGAAGGCCTTTGCATAGTCAATACAGCTCCAGTAAACATCTCTGTAGTATTCTTTGCTTTCAGACAAGATCCATCTGTCATCAACAATGATATTCTTCATTCCATATCATCATCTTAAGCAGCTTGACTTTCTGGCAGTTTCTTGTTGAAATATTGTTGCAGCCATTTTTAAATTATCTCCAGTAAAATTTTAATTGCATGTGATATTAGATATTGTTTGATGATTTTCACATTCTGGAGTGTCCAGAAAGATTAATTCCAGAACACAGTGAGAGGCAGGTCAGAAGGAAGCTTTGAATCGCAAGACTGCTGCCTCAAAGCACTGTGGACCCGGGCAGCAGGCTCAAGTCAGAAAGCCAAGTTCACCAGGCAAAGCTACCCACCCTGTAGTGCAGTCCGGTTGGAATCCTTCAGAGTGCAGACCAGCTGCCGCCCATCCAGGAAATCTCTCCCAGCTTTTTTCATCTCCTCCACCATCTGAGCATACAGCAGGGCTGCATCGTGAAGGTAGGAAGAGTAAGGGCTCACCTGAACAAGGAAAGGAAAATGTGTGCTGTACAAAGGTACAACCCCCCAAGTCACAGTTGTCACAGAGTCGAGGGGATTCTCTCACACCTGTTCTTCCAGTCAAGAAGGAGGAGAGGGCTGCCATGCTATTCACTAAGATACCAGGGGTTTCCTCTGCCTCATTTGGGGCTCCTTCCCAAGTTAGATCACAGGGTCCCTCCCGTCAGGATTAGCTCTTGAAGACTAAGTTGGGAGATGGTATGACTTAAGTGAATGAGTGCGGCTGCCAGATCCAAGCAAATTGGATTCAAGTCCTGATCTCACCACTTCTAAATCAGAGACCCTGGTAAGTTCCATAACCTCTCCGAATTCAGCTCCTTCATGTGTAAAATGGGGATAAAATCACCTGTCATGTTGACTATCGGGGAGTAAAACGAAACACCTTAGGTACAGAACCCATGACAATACCCGGTACATCCAACCCAAGCCCACTGCCATTGGGCCAATTCTGACTCCTAGCGACCCTGTAGGACAGAGAAGAGCTGACCCCCGTAGGGTTTCCAAGGCTGTCAATCTTTACAGAAGCACACGGCCACATCTGTCCCTGTAGAAGAGGCTAGTGGATTCGAACCACCAACCTTTTGGTTAGCAGCTACATTCTTTTTAGCCACTGTGCCACCAGAGTGCCTCAAAACAAATCCACTGTTATACAATTGTGACTCATGTTGTTGTTGTTGTTAAACATGGTCAAATCGGTTCTGACTCATAGCAACCCTGTGTAGGGTTTCTGAAAAGCAGGTAATAGATTTGAACTGCCAACTTTACGGTTAGCAATCCAGGCCTTACCTACAGCTCTGACTCGTAGTGACCTGGTATAGGATTTCAGAGACTAGATCTTTATGGGAGCAGAAAGCCTCTACCTTCTCCCACAGAGCCTATGATGGCTTTGAACCATGGACCTTGCAGATAGCAGCCCATTGCCTAGCTCACAACACCACCAGGGCTCCTTACTAGAGCTTATTTGTTGTTGTTGTTGTTATGTACCGTGGAGTCGGTTCTGACTCATAGTGACCCTGCACAGAGTTTCTGAGGCTGTAAATCTTTTCGGGAGCAGAACACCTCATCTTTCTCCTGTCAAACAGCTGGTAGTTTCGAACTGCTGACCTTGAGGTTCGCAGCCCGATTCATAACCACTATGTTACCAGAGCTCCTTACCAGAGCTCATAGGCAGTCTTAAATATGTATTTATTCTCTTCTATTTGTTTAGTATACAAAATATGAGTTCTTACTAAGTGTTTATTCTCCCCACAGCACCTGGAATCGAACTGACAATAGACAGCTTGCCAAATACTCAATGATTAGTCAACTTGTGTTGTATGTGGGATCCACCATCAGACCCCCGATTTTTAATCCATCATCAGTGACCTGTAGTCACCTTTTGACTCAGTTTGACGCCCCCTTGAGAAGGAGCTAAGCTCTGGCTAATGGTTTCTCTAACAAATTCCCTGCAGGAGCCAGGAACTTGGCTCCATCATATCCCACATCTCTCTCTTGACGGTCTTCTCCCTGCCCCAGCCCATCTCCTTCCCTTGACCTGCATGATATACATCCCTGACCACTCTGTTCTTGTTCTGGTCCTGGAACAAGGTCTTGTTCCAAGATCCCTTCTAGGAAGGGAAATTGTCATGGCCCAAACCCCCTCCAGTATCCCCTCGGCTACTTTCAGGTAGCTAAATGCTGTTGAGTCTTTTCCAACCATAGCTACCCTGTACGGGGTTTCCAAGGAGCAGTTAGCAGGTTTGCACCACTGACCTTGTGGTTCTCAGTCCAGTGCTTATCCTACAGGGCCACACCAGGAATCTTCATGTACCATATGTTATTAGATACCATATGCTATTAAACTGAGTGGTTGACGCCATTGCCAGTCCCATTCTACAGATGAAGAGACCAAGGTGCAGGAAGATTAAGCAATTCACCCCAAGTTCCCATGGTTAGTAAATAGTAGAAGTAACATGAGAGTCCAGGGCTCTCATTCAAAGGTACCATGGCCTTTCATCTAGTAACCTCTGTCCCCATGTGTGGTCCTACGGTGCCGATTTCACAAGAGAGCATGGCAGTACTGCTGATTTGGGACTGTGTAGGAAGGCGAAATGCTGGTGTGTCTGTAGAGGAGGTAGGAGGTGGTGGTGAGGGAGAAAGTCGAATGAGAGGAAGAAGTGTGAAAGGCAACTCAAACATCGCCTCCATGAGGAAGAGGGGCTGGAGGGAGAAAGACCTCATGTCAGACCTGCTCCTCTGAGGAAATCGAGCTGTTGAACGGAGGCCTCCTCAGCCTTTGGTAGACTTGTTTCCGGAATCCCTCGTCTTCTCTGTAGGGGCTGAGAGCGATGAGAAACACGGATTCATAGACTTTGGGAAAGTGTGTCACCTTCTGATTTGCCAGTACCTCCTTCCAAAAGCTGTCCTGAAAAATAATGACACAAATGTAGCCATTCTGTGTGAATAACCTGGAAACAGAATGGCATTAAGTCAATGTTTCATTTAAACCACCACTGTCTAATCCTTGAACTTTGAAAGACCTGCAATACATGGGTCTGCTAGCTAAGCATGGAAGCAGTGGATGGTGGTGTTTACATGCCGTCGACTCAGACCCAACTCATAGTGACCCTGTATAGGATTTCCAAGGCAGTAAATCTTTACAGGAGCAGAAAGACTTACTCATTCTCCCACAGAGCAACTAGTAGATTCGAACTGCTGATCTTGTGGTTAGCAGCCCAATGCATAACAACTGCACTACCAGGGCTCCTTGGAAGCAATGGACAGGAAACTAAAATATAAGTAAGTGCAAAGAAAAACTTATCTGGGGCACCAATCAGCTGGGAATCAGAAAGCTTGCCTTTTAGGATAGGTGACAAACGCATGAAACATTTAGGATTTTCAATCCTGATTTTGCTTATGGCTTATATGTTCTGTTAAGTTATGTGTCATTTTCATCTGTATTACTGCTATAATAGAAGAAACACCGCTAATTGTATGTTTATCCAATGAGGGCTGTGGGAGCTGGAACTCACCAGGGCGGTCATGCTTTTCCAGGTCTGGCAAGTTTTCCCCATTTGACAAGATGCACTTTTCTTTCGCTATCTATTCTTGGGAAATCCTTGCATTCTCCTTCTTTTGTAGGCTTCTACCTTACACCAGTTCTGGCTTTGGCAGATTTTATTGTACACCTACTCCGCATTTATCTACTGTCTCGTGATTCAACATTTCTCATTTATGATCATGGTAAAACTCTATAACCCGACTCTTTTTGTGCATTAACACCATATGTCTGGTAGTAACGAACACCAAGGTGCAAGGCAAGAGTGGCTAACATCACTGGCTGTGACGTTAGGTGTCAGCTTCGCTGGGCCCTAATTCACAGTGCTTTGATAGCTACGTAATGATGCAGTTGTCTTTCATGTTCACGTAATGCCAATTTTGCATTATGATCTGGTCTTTGGGATACAACCATGCCAATAAAGGAGGAGTGGGTGTATGTGAAAGACAGTGGGCCCCCCCCTTGGTTGTCCTCTCTCTCGTCCTCCCTTTCTTTCTCTGAGCGGTGTCTATACAATTACAGGAATGTATAGAGGTATGTGTGTGTGAATGTGGGTGGATATGTTTTATATAAACCGTATCCACACTCCACTCTACTGCCCACTTAACTTACATTGGGGTGACGTCTGTAGAATCAATTTAAGCTAGACTTTTTTAAACACTGTGGATATTCTCTGGTAAGCTTTTAGCTCTATCTTCTCTCTGTCACTACAAACCAATTGGAGTCTAATGACTGAGGATTAGGGAGAAAGTGACAAGGGGGTTGGAAGAGCTTCCTGGCTGAGACTAAGACTGGGCACACTGTCTCTGTTTTCATCTGTCTAAGAAGAAATGTGAAGAGGGTGGACAGCAATGAACAGGGCTGGTGGAAGGATGCTCTAGAAAGTTTGACATACATTTAGAATTCCAGCAAGCTGCCTAAAGAAACCTGAGACACTATTGGAGATACGAAATGCTTGATAGAGAAAAAAGAAAAGATCCAATTAAAAAAATGGGCAGAAGATCGGAACAGGCACTTCACCAAAGAAGACATTCATTCAGGTGGTCAACAGACATATGAAGAAATGCTCATAGTCATTAGCCATTTTGCTGTTGTTGCTAACTGCCTTCAAGTCAGTTCCCACTCATAGTGACCCTGTAGAGGGTTTCTGAGGCTGTAAATCTTTACAGGAGCAGAAAGCCTCATCTTTCTCCTGAGGAGCAGCTAATGGACTCGAACTGCCAAACTTTTGATTCATGGTCCAGTGCTTATCCATTAGAGAGATGTAAATCAAATGAGATGCTATCTCGTTCCTGAATTAATAGTAAAGTTCAGAATACAACAAATGCTGGTGAGGGTGTGGAGAGCCCGGGACCCCCCTACACCATTGATGGAAATTCAAACTAGTATAACTGCTGTGGAAATGCTACAGTGCTTCCTCAAGAAGTTGGAAACGGAAATACCATATGACCCAATAATCGTTCTATTTGGTATATATTCTCAAGAAATAAGAGTCGAGACATGAATAGATATGGTGGTGGTAGTTATGTGCCATGGAGTCATTTCCAACTTATAGCAATGCTGTATAGGGTTTCTGAGGCTATAAATCTTTATGGGAGCAGAAAGCCTCATCTTTCTCCCATGTAATAGCTGGTGGTTTCAAACTACTGGCCTTGAGGTTAGCAGCCCGACTCATAAGCACTATGCTACCAGAGCTCCTTTAAATAGATACATATGCATCATCACAGCACTATTCACAATACCAAAAAGATGCAGACAGCCTAAATACCCATCAATGAAAGGATGAATAAACAAACTTTGGTACATACACACAATGGAATATTATGCAATGTTGAAGAATAATGATAAATCTGTGAAATACCTCATAACACAAATGAACCTGGAGGACATTATGCTGAGTGAAATTGGTCAGTCACAAAAGGGCAAATATTGTATGAGACCACTGTTGTAAAAAGTCAAGAAAAGGTTTTCATGGTAAAAGAAACATTCTTTTATTGTGTCCAGGGTGGGAGGGTTGTAGGATCAGCAATGGACTGTGAACTGAACTGCAGTGTCAGTGGTTCAAGCTCACCAGCTGCTCCTTGGAAACCCTATACAGGGTCACTATGGGTTGCAACGGACTCAATGGAACTTACCACCAACACATGCCTGCTTAAAGACGTCATGTAAGTAAATGTTAAAAAAATAAAACTGTTGTTCCTGACATTTTTAAACACAGAAATGAAACAATATTGCCTGAAAGCTATTGGAAATGTGAGAAATGTTCTTCCTTCATTGGTTGAATTTCAGTTTCTAAAATATTAACATATCCCCTAATGGCTTTTGTGACGCTATTGACTGTCAGCTATCTTTCAGCATGCATGTTTGATCTAGACAAAATGTTTCAGGAAAAGAAATCCCAGTCGTTTTTAGACAATAGAGATGTGGCCTTTGCAAAATAAAGAAGAGTTGACTGCTTTAGAACAATGGCATGTTTATAAAAATACTCCCAGGGTAATAAATGCACAAATATAAACAATGAAAAACAAAAGAATAGAAATCAGAAGCCTCTTCCTTTACTTCCTTGTGCCTTATTTCAGCTTCTTATAATCAAACAAGGAGCTCTGTTGGCGTCAAGGGTTAAGTACTGGGCTGTTAACCACATGGTTGCTGGTTCAAATCCACTAGCTATCCCAAGGGAGAGCAATGAGGCTCCCATACAGATGACAACCTCGGAAACCCTGTGGAGCAATTCTGCTCTCTTTTAGGGTTGCTATGAGTCAGAATCGACTCAATGACAGTGTTTTTTTATGATCATATAAAACAAATTCACTTTAGAGAAATAAAACTGCTAGAGAATTTATATAATGTGTCCTTAGCTAAAGGCAAGTGGCCTTTTTAGATGGACTAAGGATCTCTGGTAGCGTAGTGGTTATGAATCAGGCTGCTAACCTCAGGGTCAGCAGTTCGAAACTACCAGCTGAGGCTTTCTGCTCCTGTAAAGATTTACAGCCTCGGAAACCCTGTACAGGGTCGCTATGAGTCGGAACCAACTCCACGGCAGTCCTGGTGTGACTCTATAGGATAAGCATTGGACTGCTAACTGCAAGGTCAGTGGTCCAAACCCACCAGCCACTCCTGGGAAACCCTTTACAGGGTCGCTATGAGTCAGAAACAACTCGATGGCACTTAGCAACAACAACTTGTTAGTGGTGGCTATTTGCACAGACACTTAGGCCAACCCACCTAGTTTGGAATATTAGCTCCCCTATACTGGCACTGTACTACAAACCAAAAGGTTGACTGTTCAAACCCACCAGCTGCTCCTCAAACACCCTATACAGGGTCGCTATGAGTCAGAACCGACTCCACAGTACTTAACAACAGCAACATGTGGGTTATTAGAGTCCTGGTGTGGCACTGTGGGTTAATGCACTGGGCTGCAAAGTCAATTCGATCCCAAGGTCAGCGGTTCAAGTTCACCAGCCACTCCTTGGAAACCTTATATAGGATCACTATGGGTTGGAATTGACTCAACAGCACTTCACAACAACAACAACATACTGGTTGTATGTGGAGTCCAGTGTAGCAATGTAGGGTAAGCACTAGATTACTAACACATAGACAAAAGCTGTAATCAGTCCTTATGTCCATCAGTGGACAAATTGGCTAAGTAGACAATGGAATATTATTCAGTAATAAAAAGGAATGAAGAACCGCTGCATACTACATCTGGATGGACATCAAAAACATTATGCTGAAATGAAATGAAAAATGATAAGATGAATGTAAAGCTGATGTTCTCCCATGTAAACTATCACTCAATTCATAATAAAAACTTAAACATTAAATATATATATATATATATATATATATCATGCTGAGTGAAAAAAAACAGACACAAAATGTCCCATACTGCTGGATTCCATTGATATGAACTAGCCAGAATAAGTAAATCCATAAAGCAAAATGCTTTTATAGTATTTGCCAGAGCCTGACAGGAGTGTGTGGTGAGAAGGAATGTGGAGTGATTGCTTAACTGGAGCACTGGTGGTTCTGTAGAATAAGCACTGGACTACTAACAGCACGGTTGGCAGTTTTAAACCAATAACCACTCTTTGGGAGAAAGATGAGGTTGTCTGCTCCAGTGAAGATTCACAGCCTCGCGAATCCTATGCAAGGTCACTATGAGTCAGAACCAACTCTATGGCAGTGAGTTTCAGTTTTTGCTTAATGGGTTGTTGTTGTTGTTGTTAAGTGCCGCTGAGTCGGTTCCAACCCATAGTAACCTTGTTTGGAGTTTCTGAGGAGTGGCAGATGAGCTTAAACTGCCGACCTTGAGGTTCAAATGACTGCAGTCCAGCGCATTAACCCTCAGTGCCACACCGCTTAATGGGTGGGGTGATGAAAATGTTTGGGAACTAGATAGTGGTGAGAGCTGCACAGCGTTGTGAATGTGCATAATGCCACCGAATCATTCACTTTTAAATGATTAAATTTCTGTTATGTGAATTTCACCTCAATAAAGAAATTAGTTTAAAAGAATAGGGATCTAACCTAGATCCAGAGGATGTGGAGAAGGATAGAATCTCCATTGAGCAGTATCCAATCTGTCTAGGCGGGGCTGAAAGGAAATGCGAATAGGTCTCTTCTGATACAATAGAGAATAATTGTTATCAGAACTGATTGTGAGGGTTGGAAATGTAAAGGTAGATGTTATGTAGTAAGGAGGGGAGTGATTAACTTTGTAGTCTAGGAGTGGAGGTCCCTGGAACCATCAAGGGAGAAGAGCAGAGAGCGGGACCCTACCCAGAGAAGCAGTGACACCAGAGATGGAGGCAGAGACGATAACGTGGAGAGATGGAGCAGCTGGGGACTTGAGACAGAGATAGACCCAGAGAGGGAGAGGGGCTGTGTGTTGATGACCAGGGAGTGTTGTGGGGCAGGCTTGTAGGGTATACCCTTTGATTGGTTGATGATGCATGGAGGGGATTGTAACCATGGCAATGAAAGTATGATAGAATGAATGTAAAACTAATGTTCTCCCATGTAAACTATCACATAATTCACAATAAAACATTTAAAAAAAGAAGAAGAATAGGGATCCAGACAGTTGGTGTTTGGTGTTTTCTGATGTAGAGAGCAGACAGTCAGGCTTTGGGACCCAGCCAGCCACTCATCAGTTGAGTAAGAGAATTTTGAGAATTTTGGACAAGCTTTTTTAGGTCAGTCTCCTGATCTTAAGATGCAGGCACAAGAGCGCCTCCTTCTCGGGGTGGTAAAGTATTCACTGGACTGTGGCACTGTGGGCTAATGCGCTGGACTGCAAAGTCGTTTGAACCACAAGGTTGATGGTTCAAGCTCACCAGTCACTCCTTGGAAACCCTATACAGGGTCTTCATGGGTCGGAATGGACTCAACAGCACTTAACAACAACAACAATGTATCCTGTTACCAGAGCTACTGAGTGATCATCAGCACCCACCTCAAGGAAGTGCAAAATGATGAAGACAAATTCTCCTGTGTTGAGTCCCAGGTTCTCTGCACCGAGCAGAATCATGTGTGCATCCTCTGAGCTGCAGATCAAGATGATAACTATAAGAAGGGAAACCAGAGTCAGCCGATTGAACCCGTTCACATGCACATGTGTGCACACATACATTTTTTAACACCTAGCCAGAAGCTGCTCCAAATGAGTTGTTAGCTTCCTCTTTCCTTGAGCATGCCTTAGGAAACAGGAGTACCTAAACTAGTCTCCAGGTGTATACTTGGTGAAGCAAGCTAGCAGCATACAAACTGGCATCTATTGCCTTACTGAGCTAACATCTTCACTGAAGATCTCCCAGAATATGAGCCAAAAGAATTTTTGAGAGCACTTTTGTATTGTTGTTGTTGTTGTTAAGTGCCGTCGAGTCGGTTCGGAACCATAGCGACCCTGTACAGGGTTTCCAAGGGTGTAAATCCTTATGGGAGTAGAAAGCCTCATCTTTCTCCCGCAGAGCGGCTGGTAGTTTCGAACCACTGACCTTAAGGTTCGCAGCCCATTTTGTAACCACTATGCTACCAGAGCTCCTTCACTTTTGTATTATCAACTCAAAAAAATTCAAAACGGCAGACCTGGCTTGTGACTTGTCAGTCTGATACATGTAGTATGTGTTAGAGGACTTGGAAATCAGGGGTCCTCAGACTTTCTGAGGAAGAGTTATTGTTGTTGTTAAGTGCCGTTGAGTTGGTTCCAACCCATAGCATCCTTGTATAAGGTTTCCAAGCAGCAGCTGGTGAGCTTGAACCACCGACTTTGCAGTTCAAATGGCTTTGCAGTCTGGCACATTAACCCACAGCGCCACATCAGGAATCCAGCAGAAAAGCAGGAAGCTGTTGTAACGTGCCTTCATTTTGAGAAGGTGCCAATGAATTCAGGATTTCTTTTCAAATTTGGTAAATTATTATCTATTTGGCTGAGCTCTGAACATGTGTCAAGCACAGTGCTAGGCACAGCGTGTTGTTGTTAAGTGCCCTGGAGTTGCTTCCGACTCATAGCCACCCTGTATGGGTTTCCGAGAAGCAGCTGATGAGTTTGAACCAATAACTTGAGAGGTTCAAACCAGCCTTGAAGTTGAGTGCTTATCCTACAGCACAGGGTGTAGTAGTGGTAAGGCAGAAAGGCCCCTGCCCTCAGAGAGCTGACATCCCAGCAGACAGACAGTCAGACAGATAATATACAAGTGAAAAGATTAAAGAGATCATTCAAGATTCTCATGAGTGAGGGGGACAGGGATGCTGGGATACCAACAGGGGAGGAAATTTTTTCAACATCAAGTATTTAGAGAAGGCCTTTTGGAGGAGGCGAGTTTGGGCTGAGTCTGGTATCACAAGGTACAGCATGGAGTGGGTTGGGGCTGTAGGCTGCAGCCAGCTGAGGGAGTCACAGTCCAAAATTCCCAAGGTCAGATCGACCTTAGTTTATGTGAAGAACAGAAAGGACTCAGTTCCTAGTTCATGCTAGAATGTAAAGTCTTATAAGCACCACAACATAAATAATTACTAACATAGGTTGACTAAGTGCCATGTCTAGACCAGACCCAGTGCTAAGTACATTATAGGCATGCTCTTATTTAATCCTTATAATTCTGTAAGTCAGGAGGGTGAATGTCTTAAGTTTTACAGATAAGCACAGAGAGGTTAAGTTACTTGCAAAGTAATACACAACATAAACAACTGTCCAAGTCCAGTGCCTGGCTCACCTGGAATATGTTCCCAGACCTTACTCTGAGCATTGTAATACTAAAACAGCTGGAGATTCATTTTAGACAAAAAAATAATAGTTTTCTCTTGGTGGTGCAGAAGGAAGATATTTGCTTATACGTATCATTAATTTCATTAATTTAAGGAGTGCTGTTGTGTAGTGGATTACAAACTGTCCTGTTAATTGCAAGGTCAGCAGTTTGGATCTATCATTGCTCCTCAGGAGAAAGATGAGGCTTTCCTGTAAAGATTTACAGCCTCAGGAACCCGATCCTGTCTGGGTAATTATAAGTCGGAATCGACTCAGTGAGACACAACCACCACCATCATCAAGTTAAGGGTTCTGGTGGACTGCTAACTGCCAAGTCAGCAGTTCAAACTCACCAGTTGTTCCTCAGAAACCCTTTACAGGGTCGCTATGCGTTGAAACCGACTCAACAAGCACTTAACAACATCATTCATTATGAACTGTCTCCATCTGTATTTATCACCTCTAGCAAAATGAAGGTTTCTTTGTTTTTTCCAACTGGCTTTTCCTGTCTGTCTCTTCAAACATAAGCAGATGAAGACTTTTTCCTACTCACCTCTGGCAACTGATGACATGGTTCTAAGATTCTCTTGCAGGAAGGCTGGATCATTGCTGGTGTATCTCACATGGGCAGTGATGGTGACGTGGGATTTGAGTTTATTTTCAACAACCCTCCACAATTCATCCACTCCATCCCAGGAGGACGCCCTGGAGTGGCCGCCAAATATCCCAATATGTTTCCAGCCCATGTGCTGGAGAGTTTTCTGGAGGACATCGCCAATTTCATGCATGGGTGGTGTCAGTTTCACACAAGTGTCGTACACAAAGTGATTCTCCAGTTTTGCCGTTTGTCCAACAAAGTCAAACATGGGGATGTTCCACTCTGAGGCCAGCAAACCAACAACCTTGAAAGTAACCAAGAGAATGCTTTTCCATGAGTTTATGCTACCCTCAGATCCCACAGTGAAGGGTATGTACAGAGAGTAAGGCAGGGTGTCTCTGGGTCTTTTGGCAATTGATGGCATGGATTGGATCCAACAGACCTCAGAAGACAAGGATAGAAATTGCTGCTAGTTATTGTTAAGGGGCGTCGAGTTGACTCCGACTCACAGTGAGCCTATGCACAACAGAGCTAAACACTGCCTGGTCCTGCGCCATCCTCACCAATGTTGTCTGAGCGCATTGCTGCTGCTATTGTGACAATCCACATACTATGTGCCAAGCACGCAACTAAGAGTTGTTTTGTTTTTGCTAAGTGTCTTCGAGTCAGTTCCACTCATAGTGACCCTGTATAGGGTTTACAAGGAGCAATTGGTGGGTTTGAACCACTGACTTTGTCATTAGCAGTCCAGTGCTTATCTAACAGTGCCACACCATATCGCATCTCAATGATTAACATTTCTCTGCAGTAGGTATGATCATGACCCCTTTTTATAGATAAAATCATGGAGGCACAGAAATGTAAGTTACTTGCCTAAAGTCACATAGCAAGCAAGCTATTGAGCCAGGATTCGAATTCAGACAGTCCAGGTGTGGCGCTGTGGGCTAATATACCAGACTGCAAAGTCGTTTGAACTATAAGGTTGGTGGTTCAAGCTCACTAGCTGCTTCTTGAAAACCCTGTACAGGGTCACTATGGGTTGGGATTGACTTGAAAGCACTTACCAACAACAATAAATATCCAGGGAAGTGCAGTGGTTCTGCAGGATAGCACTGAACTGCAAACTACAAGGTCAATAGCTTCAGTCCATGAGTTTCTCCTTAAGAGAAAAATCTCTGCTCCCGCAAAGATTTACAGCCTTAGAAACCCTAGACAGGGTCGCTATGAGTCGGAACCAACCCAATGGCACTTAACAACATTAACAACAATACATATCAAAATAGCACTAGGGTTAGAAATGCGTTTCAAGATTTATAGACAATAGGTATATAGCAGTTTAGAGAAGGAAGAAATTACAATTACTTCTGATTTGGTAATTAGAGATGAGGAAACAGGAGGTAGAGGTATAAAAAAAAGACTTCATGACATTTGGACTTGACTTTGAAGAGTGGGTAGGACAGCTATAAATGTGTCCCATGGGGAATTCCAGAAGAAACCAAGATTCAAGTTCAAATGTAACTTAACTCCATAATGCACCAACATTAACAACAGTTTGGCAGTATTTTTGAGAGTAAGAAGTAGAAGACGCCTTCCTATTTAGACTTCCCATCCCTCTCAGATCACATGATACCCAAGGACATCAACTGAATCCCATTAGAGAACAAATTACAAATCATTCATTTCCCTATTTTCTTGCTCTAGTTTATGGCAACCATTGTATTTTGTTTTTTCCCATTTGTTTCCACCATCACAGAATAATTTATTATACGTACCAAAGGGAAACATAAATAAATGATCGTTTTCTAATTGAAACCAAGCATTAATTTTCTTTTGAATTTTTCTGAGTCATATGGCTGACAATGTTCGCATGGATAATAAGAAGTCTATATATATCAACCTCAAAGTCACACAATCAACAAAAGGAGAAAGAGTGTGAGTAAACGAACAGTTATTGATTTGAAAGGTTTCCTTTAAAACAAATATTAACTGTTCTAATTACATGGTCTAATTACACTTCAAAGAAATGGTACCTAAGAACCACACAATTGTTATTATAATAAGACAATCTTCATCAAGAGACCACTTGCGTCTTTAAGATCAGTACCTTCCAACGGGAACTTGGCCAAAGTTTCTAAAAGGCTGTATACTCTACCTCAGCTGCTTCTGGGCATGGTGGTCCAAATAGAGCAGAAATGTGTTCTCTCTGGACCTGGTTGATGAAAATGGTAAGGGACTCTTTGACGCTGCAGCCTGACTTGGTGTAAGTGAACTCCAAACTCAGATTTTCCAGCTGCGCCAGTTCAGAGTTAACTTTGTCAATGGCTATCTGGAGGCCTGCGCCCAGTCTCTGCACACTGAATGGATGGGATATGTTCCAGGGGGCCTGGAAACCCACAGTGAGTTTAGCAGCCTCGAGCCAAGTCATCAGCACACCGGCAAAGAGCATCGGAAATAGCACCAAGTGGGTAGCATGGTACTCAACCCCCAAACAGGATCCAAGACCCATCCTTGAAGCTATGGATGGTGTCTGAGACTGTGTCACTGCACAACTCCCAGAAGCTCGGCTTCCTGACCTCTCAGACCAGGAACTTATATGACAGTGCCCAAGTTCCCTAAGGACTAGAGTTTGCTTTCCACCCAGTGCTGTTAATTAACCAAAGCCCTCCTTCCTCAGAGTCACTTCTAACACAATCTAGAATCAGTGGAGGCTGTGGAAGGAGGCTGAGGCAGGGAGAAAGGCCTGATCATTGATCCGGTGACATGACTACAGGTCACCGGACCCCACTGTGTCTCTTCACCAGTGATGTCTGTATAGATGTCCAAACCCATTGCATGTTAGTTCTGTGACTTGGGACATGTTCTTTCCCTTCTCTATGTCTTCATCTGATGATCTCTAAAATGGATGTGAAACTCTAATGGAATCTTCCTCCAAGTGGTATGTGGTTATTAGGTGCCAATGAGCTGGTTTTGACTCATCGCCTCCGTGTAAACAACACAACAAAACTGCTGCCAAGTCCTGTGTCATTTTTATGACAGCATGGCCCTCCTGGGCTGAACTAAGTGGAGTCGGTTCAGTCATTAGGTCTCCAGTGGTGGTGTGGTTATGTGCTGTGGAGTCGGTTCCGACTCATAGCGACCCTGCACAGGGTTTCCGAGGCTGTAAATCTTTACAGGAGCAGAAAGCCTCATCTTTCTCCCGCGGAACAACAGGTAGTTTCGAACTGCTGACCTTGCAGTTCGCAACCCAATTCATAACCACTACGCTACCAGAGCTCCATGCAAATGAGGAAGTTTAAAAACTAGCTGAGATGACCTCATGGTTCCAGAAGGAGAACAGGACAAGGAGGATAGGAATGCTTAAACCCACCCAGATAGTTATCTCAGGAACTAAGCATCTGAGGCCAGAAAGGTAGAATGTTTGAGGAAGTTTGTAGATTTATTGTTACTTTTTCCCTATAGGTAGAATGAGGAAGTTTATTGCCTTATTGTTTCTTTTTCTAAAGAATACTATCTTGATGTTAAAATACATTCCGTGTACATCTAAATGTAACTTACTCTATATAATGTGCCTGTTCTTTGTGAAAACTGGACAGTCTTGAGATTATTCTCTCTGTCTTCCAGACTGCTAGCTTTCTGTTATAAAGCTTAGCTTCGCTCTCTTGCCTTCTCTGTGGTTGAGTGCAGTGTCAGGGGCAAACCCTCATTTCCATTTGACAGCACTTATGTTTGAGACCATTGTTGCAGTAACTGTTTTGATCCATCTCATTGAGGGTCTTCCTCTCCTTCACTGACCTTCTACTTTACTGAGCTCAGGAAGCACGGTGCTTATGAGTTGGTCTGCTAACCACAAGGTCACCAGTTCAAAACTACCTGCTGTTACACAGGAGAAAGAGGAGGTATTCTGTCCCAATAAAGATTTACAGCCTTATGCAGCATCGCTATGAGTCAGGACCGACTCCATGGCACACCGTCATCCATTATCCATCCTACTATACTAAGCATGATGTTCTTCTCCAGGGATTCATTCCCCCTGATAACATGGCCAAAGTAAGTAAAGTGAAATCTTCCCACACCATGCTCATTCTTCAGACTTTCTCCTAAGACAGATTTGTTTGTTCTTCAGGCAGTCTATGGTCTATTTTACATTCTTCACCAACACCATCGTTTAAAGGTATCAACCCTTTTTCCGTCTTCTTTATTCATTGTCTGGTTTGCACACACATATCAGGAGATTGAAAATACCTTGAGTTGGATCAGATGCACCTTAATCCTCAAAGTGACATCTTTTTTTTGGGGGGGGGGGGCTTGTTTTGTTTTTTTAAAGAGGTTTTTCTCCATGGAAACAATTAGTCCAATGGACTAATGGACCATGTAAACATTAATGTCCATGCTCCTGAGATTAGAAGAACCAAATGGGCCCAGCTACCACTGCCAACTGCTCTGAAAGGGATCACATTAGCAGCTCCTGGATACAGTGGGAGAAAAATGTGGAGAAAACCTCAAAATCATAAAAATTCTCAGACTTCCTGACCCAAGAGAGACTGGTGGAACCTCCAAAATTATGGCCCTTAGCCACCCTTCAGTTCTGGAACTAAACTCTTCCCCAGTTTCCAGACAAACAATAGACAGTTCTAGAAGGGGAACAATAATATCATGGAGTACACACACCATAGAATAATCAGTCATCTGAGATCAGAAGGGCAGCATTTCAGCAGGGTTAGAAAAGAAGGAGGAATGGAACTAAGAAACACAGGGAGCAAGTGATGCTACATGGTGGGGATTGCAAACAATGACATGAAACAAAAATGTGTGACCTATGGAATGGAAAACTAATATGCTCTCTAAACCTTCACCCAAATGGCATGGCACTTCCTCAGAAAGTTGGAAATAGAAATATCTTATGACCCAGCGATCCCTTTACTGGGTATATAGCCACAAGAAATACAAGCTCAAACACAAGTTGGTACAAACACCCTGAAGTTCATCACAGCACTATTCACAGCCGCATAAAGATGGAGACAGCCTAAGTATCCATCAATGGAAGGGTGGATAAACAAACTTTGGTACCTGGACAAAATAGAATACTATGCAACGTTGAAGAGTAACAATGAATCTGTAAAACACATAGCATGAATGAACCTGGAGGACATTGTTGTTGTTGTTGTTGTTGTTAAGTGCTGTCGAGTTGGATAGGGTTTCTGAGGAGCAGCTGGTGAGCTTGAACCGCTAACCTTGCAGTTCAAACAACTTTGCAGTCTGGTGCATTTACCCACAGCACCACAGTGAAATTGTTGTTAAGTACCATCAAGTCAGTTCCAACTCATAGTGACCCTGTATAGGGTTTCCGAGGAGCAGCTGGTGAGCTTGAACCACCGACCTTGCAGTTCAAACTGTCCTTGTGATCCAGTGCATCATCCTGCCATGCCATACCACGGTCAATAAAAAAAGGACAGATATTGTGTTAAATAATTATTGTAAAAGCTTAAGAAGAAGTTTCCATACTAAAAGAAACATTCTTTAATGGTTACCAGGGGTGGGAGAGTTGTTGTTATGTGCCATTGAGTCTGTTCCGACCTATAGCAACCCTGTATAGGGTTTCTAAGGAGCAGATGGTGATCTTGAACTGCCAATCTTGTGGTTCAAACCAACTTTGCAGTTCACACCAGGACTCCTTTTGATTCATAGTGACCCTGTATAGGGTTTCTGTGCCACACCAGGAGAGTAATTCTCTGACTAGAAAGTAGACATCTGTTAGCTCAGGTAATGTGAAAGGCAATAAACAAGAAGGGGGAGGGCCATTCATGAGAAGAGGGAAGGTGAGAGAAGGATAATGACTCAAAGCAAGCCTGTATAGAGTTTTCAAGGATTGGCTGATGAGTTTGAACAACCAGCCTTGTGGCTCAAACCCACCTGGTAATGGAGTGCCTATCCTACAGCCCCTATGGAGATGAAACTAAGTGTATGATTTATTGAATATAAAACTAATGATCTTGTTTATAAACCTTAAATTAATTCACAATAAGAAGTTACAATTTAAAAAAAGATGTAAGTGAAAATAGTTTGGTTTTTTTGTTTGTTTGTTTGTTTGTTTTTTGCTGCCGCAGGAGATTTACCCAATAGGATCACTAGACTTGATGGCGTGTGGTATGATAAGCATTGTTGTTGTTAAGTACCAGTCAAGTCGGTTCTGACTCACAGGGAGCCCATATAGGGTTTCTGAAGAGCAGCTGGTGAGCTTGAACCACCTACCTTGCAGTTCAAACTGACTTTGTAGTCCAGTGAATTAACCCACAGCACCACACCAGGACATCAGGAGCAGCTGGGGGGTCTGAATTGCTGACCTTGTGGTTTGAAGTCTAGTGCTGATCCTGTAGCACCCCACCAGGAGTCCATGATAAGGGTTAAAAGAGTGCAGTGCTTGGCACAACGCCTGGGCAGAGAGGCCACTGCACAAGTGTCAGATCTGATGACAGTGGGGATGGTATTCATCACAGTCATCATGGTATCACTTGATGAGTGTATCTTCTGGAATAAGTTAGATAATGTCATGGAGGACTTACCGATGTTAAAATAAAGATCGTAATAAGTGCAGGAACAGAGGACCCTAGGGTCATCAAGGGTGAAGAGCATAAGTGGAATGTAGGACCCTATCCAGAGAAGCAGCGACACTAGAAATGGAGGCAGAGATGAGGGCACGCAGAGAGGGAGCAGCTGAGGCCTCTGGACTCGTGGAAAGAGAGGTACTGGGTGCTGGCAGCCAGGAGGCAGGCTTGCAGAATGTGCCCTTTCATTGTTTAAATGATTATATATTCCAGAGTGTTTCTGTGTACATCCTCTGCCCACCCCCCCACAAAAAAAAAAAAAAAAGAGGGCATGGAAGCAAATATTGTTGAATAATGATGTGCGGAGAAGATTGTAATTATTGCAATGAAATGATGAGTGTAAAATCAATGTTCTCCCATGTAAACTATCACTCAATTCTCAGTAAAAACTTGAAAAAAAAATCATAATAAGTCAGTAAATAGACATTTATTGAAGTTTATTGAATATGTGGACCCCTGGTGTGGCACTGTAAGATAAACACTAGACAGTGGACCACAAGGTCAATGGTTCAAACCTAACAGCTGCTCCTCAGAAACCCTATGGGTCACTATGAGTCAGAACTGACTAGAAGGCACTTAACAAAAACAATTGAATTTGTGACTTGCAGATCTAGGTAGTGTTTCAACTAGACAGGCCTACTAGGTGTACAACAGCTCCTGGGAGGTTCTAACTCCCCAGAACAATCAGATCTAAGAGATCAAAAGGGCAGCAGTTACCCAGGGATAGAGGCAGGAAAGGGTAGAAAAGAAAGAAGAATGAAAAAGGGAAACACCACGCAGACAGGGAAGAATGTTTGCCACTGTGGAGATTACAATCAATGTCATGAATCAAAACGCGGATTGT